AGTGTATTACAAAGGTACAAAACAGATTTCAGTACTTCAATAGGTTGGTATATTAACATTATATCAGTTAATGAAATTATGGTATTTAACTGTAAATTTAAGTTAAAACCTAAAACGTTGCTACCGTATTTTTTATGGTAAAATTCCAGCAACCACAGCTGCCGGTTTTTTACCGTCAATTTTACGGAATTTTTTTTACAGTGTATATGAGCAAAATTCCTGAATGTTTCATTTCCTGCTAACAGGGAATGTTCTTTTTAAACTTTTTTTTTTTTTAAATGCATGTTTTAAACATTTAGAGAACATTCCGAAATAATGTTTTATAATGTTAGCAAAATGTTAGAATATATTTTTGTTAACTAGGCTGATACTCTGGAGGTGGTGAAGGCTTTTTGATATTTGTGCCATATCATTTTATTGCACTGCTTTGAATGTTGCTGAGCCATTTTTCAACTGCAGTGGCATTTTTTTTTTTTTTTCTCAAAACTAATGGGAATACATAGAATACATCCATCATACATACATCTGCATTAGCAGCTGTTGCTGATTACAGTTATACATATGCACACAAAATTCAGCAATGTACTTCAACTTAAATCAATGTTTTATTACACAATTTGTTGCATATTTTGTAAAACAAGTTTAATGTAATACTTGCTGTCTTTTCTGAGTAACACTTTTTAATAAGGAAGAAATTAAAATGTAAATGAAATCTTTAAAATGAGACAATATATTTTATATAAACATTAAATAGTATTTTATTAATTTTTACTTTTAATTTTATAATTTATTAAATGTGTTTTCTTTATGTTAAAAAAGATGCTATAATTTGGAAAATTTTTGCTGCTTAGATTTATTTTTATTTTTAATGCTCTAAATTGTTGTTTTTTAATTAAATTAAATTAAATAAATTGTAAATATTAATAAGAGCAAGTATACTATTCAAAAATTCTGTTTTGTCTATTGTTTGACTGCAGTGAAAGGGTTAGTTCACTCAAAAATGAATATTCTGTCATTAATTACTCACCCCTTGTGCACAAAGAAAACAAAAAAAACAACAATTTGTTTATGTTCAGGAGAAAGCGCGCGCATGCTGAACGTAAGCAACGCTGAACAGAAAGCGCGCACATGCGTCGTGGTACTCTCCAAAATGGCGGAAGGCGTTAACTCTGGGAGAAGAATTGTTGAATAAACTGTTATTTTTGTTTTCTTTGCACACAAAAGGTATTCTCATAGCTTTGCAAAATTGAAGTTGAGCCACTGATGTCACATGTACTGTTATATTGATGTCCTTATTACGTTTCTGGGTCTGGGAACATTTCAGTTGTGTCGCTGTCTATGCAGGGTCAGAAAGTTCTCGGATTTAATCAAAAATATCTTAATTTGTGTTCCAAAGATGAACGAAGGTCTTATGGGTTTGAAACGACAACGAGGGTGAGTAATCAATGACAGAATTTTCATTTTTGGGTGAACTAACTCTTGAAGTTTGACTTTGTCTAAATGACTGATAGGATCTGCTATCAGATAACATGACTATAACCAGTATTAACACATTTCTGTTATTACATTTTCATCTGTTAAAATGTGCATGGTGAAAACAAAGTAGTATGCATTAATGCATGTCAGTTGGCCGTTCTTTTCCTGCCTCAGTGCTGTTTCATGTGTGTTACCATGATGGTGTTTAGTGTTTGTGTGAATGACACTGTGCACCTTCTATACATGTTATTATTTAAAAGCTGCTTGAGATGGGCTTTGGTTCATCATGTGACTTTCTCATCACCACCTGCATTTGGTGGTTATTAGTGTATTACAAAGGTACAAAACAGATTTCAGTACTTCAATAGGTTGGTATATTAACATTATATCAGTTAATGAAATTATGGTATTTAACTGTAAATTTAAGTTAAAACCTAAAACGTTGCTACCGTATTTTTTATGGTAAAATTCCAGCAACCACAGCTGCCGGTTTTTTACCGTCAATTTTACGGAATTTTTTTTACAGTGTATATGAGCAAAATTCCTGAATGTTTCATTTCCTGCTAACAGGGAATGTTCTTTTTAAACTTTTTTTTTTTTTAAATGCATGTTTTAAACATTTAGAGAACATTCCGAAATAATGTTTTATAATGTTAGCAAAATGTTAGAATATATTTTTGTTAACTAGGCTGATACTCTGGAGGTGGTGAAGGCTTTTTGATATTTGTGCCATATCATTTTATTGCACTGCTTTGAATGTTGCTGAGCCATTTTTCAACTGCAGTGGCATTTTTTTTTTTTTTTCTCAAAACTAATGGGAATACATAGAATACATCCATCATACATACATCTGCATTAGCAGCTGTTGCTGATTACAGTTATACATATGCACACAAAATTCAGCAATGTACTTCAACTTAAATCAATGTTTTATTACACAATTTGTTGCATATTTTGTAAAACAAGTTTAATGTAATACTTGCTGTCTTTTCTGAGTAACACTTTTTAATAAGGAAGAAATTAAAATGTAAATGAAATCTTTAAAATGAGACAATATATTTTATATAAACATTAAATAGTATTTTATTAATTTTTACTTTTAATTTTATAATTTATTAAATGTGTTTTCTTTATGTTAAAAAAGATGCTATAATTTGGAAAATTTTTGCTGCTTAGATTTATTTTTATTTTTAATGCTCTAAATTGTTGTTTTTTAATTAAATTAAATAAATTGTAAATATTAATAAGAGCAAGTATACTATTCAAAAATTCTGTTTTGTCTATTGTTTGACTGCAGTGAAAGGGTTAGTTCACTCAAAAATGAATATTCTGTCATTAATTACTCACCCCTTGTGCACAAAGAAAACAAAAAAAACAACAATTTGTTTATGTTCAGGAGAAAGCGCGCGCATGCTGAACGTAAGCAACGCTGAACAGAAAGCGCGCACATGCGTCGTGGTACTCTCCAAAATGGCGGAAGGCGTTAACTCTGGGAGAAGAATTGTTGAATAAACTGTTATTTTTGTTTTCTTTGCACACAAAAGGTATTCTCATAGCTTTGCAAAATTGAAGTTGAGCCACTGATGTCACATGTACTGTTATATTGATGTCCTTATTACGTTTCTGGGTCTGGGAACATTTCAGTTGTGTCGCTGTCTATGCAGGGTCAGAAAGTTCTCGGATTTAATCAAAAATATCTTAATTTGTGTTCCAAAGATGAACGAAGGTCTTATGGGTTTG